CTGTGTTAATCCGGAAAATACCAAGAAATTAGTCTTCACAACATGATAAAGCTAAAGTTTTGCTCTCTTGCAAATGTAATGTGAGTGGATCACAATTTTACTTCACAGTTCAAAAGAATAACAATGTCATGATCAATTACTCTTTAGGGATTTCCCACAATCTTTCTCCCTTTTCCCACCATTGCTGGTATTGCTACAGGACAATCCGGGAAGTGCAGGTAAGGACTTCAGAGATATTGATCAAGGATACTAAAACAGAATCCCCACTCCTTGAAGTCCATCTATCAGGGTAGTACTGCAGTCTTCCCTCTGGGTTGTGGTGGTACAGGGGAAAGGGCATAGGAAGAACTAAGGTAAGATGGCGGACATTGAGGCAATTCATTGGTTTGCAGGTATACAAGATGAGACTGTGATTATCAGACATACTGAATCCAAGGCAAACAACTGGTTATTTGATTGTCCTCCTTAGGATGATGGCACCACAAATAACTGAAGAACCAAAATAAACCAAAGGTTTGCTACAAGGAAATATGCTTCAGTTGAAAATAAAGAAAATTAACAATTCTCTTTATTCCAGGGGAAAATTCTCATCTTGCCCCTTTCATTGCTTCTTCCACCATAGGTCAGCAGATGTGTTCTGGAAGGTTGGTTTTAAAGGGCAACTCAGGATCAGAGTTCTTCCAATTCTACAAGAAAGGCATTGTGAGTCGATAATTCCCTCTCCATTTTGAGGAAAAGCCTCTTAAAATCGCTTAGATTAAGTTCTTCCAAATCTAAGGCGATGCTTTTACTTTTTCATATTTGGTGTGCAGTTTAGCGTTTGGAGTCCTGGTGTGGTAGTCTAGGAAAATCACTGGACTGCTAACCACAAGGTTGGCGGTTCAAACCCACCAGCCGCTCTACTGAAACCCTATATAGGGAGGCTGAGTTGGAACCAACTCTATGGCACTTAACAATGGTGTGTGGTTTACTAAAGGAGCCCAGGTGGTGGAGTGGTTAAGTGCTTGGCTCTTAACCATAGATGTGGTTCAAATCTAGTAGACACTCACTGGAAAGATGTGGCAGTCTAGTCCTGTAACGATTATAACCTTGGTTCTACTCTGCCCTATCGGGTCACTAAGAGTTGGAATCAACTAGACAGCAGTGTGGATGGGGTTTTTGCTATCAGTAATGCTGGGTAAGTGATTGATTTGCAAGATTGACCAGCCCAAGTTTCATCAACTTTATCCCACATCACCACTGTGCTTTGCCTTAAAATATAATACAGAAAGTTGGCGACTTTTAAGATTACCATCAAGTAGGTGCCTGAAATGGAAGAAACATAGGTGCTTCTAAATAACTGAGAAAGTCTTACTTTAACTCTTTATACTTCAGCTAATGGCCATAAGCAAAAAATAAATTTTAGGCCAACCAGAATAAGGAAATGAACTCAGTGGATTGATAAACATTTGATTGATTCTTCATTGCCTATCTTTTTAAAAAGCTCTATGAGAACTTCTGTTCTTCACCTAGTTCATATAGACTTCCTGTGATGACAATATTTGTCAGATCTGAGAAAAGCATGACTTTATAGTTACAAAGTTATATATTCAACATTACTTTTTAAAATCTGAGGTTATTTTAATTTTTAAAAATTCAAATGCATTATACAGTAAGGAGTACTTGAAAGAGTTAGGCAAGTTTCTTGCCAACTTCTTAAAGAAAACAATTATAATCTGAAACGTTTACCCCCCAAAAATGCCATCACTTCGGAGAATGCAGAATTTTTGAATAAAATAATGGTAGGGGAAAAAAAAGCAGGTCTCTGTCTGTTGTTATTAGGTGCTGTAGAGTCAGTTCCGACTCACAGTGATTCTATGAACGGCAAAACAAAACACTGCCAGTCCTGCACCATCCTCACAATTGTTACATTTGAACCCATTGTCACTACTGTGTCAATCCATAGGGGGAGGGGTCTTCCTCATTTTACTGAACTTCCATTTTATGAAACATAATCACAGAGAGGTTTGTTTCCAAAGCCCAATTCCCTCTTGTTTCCCCAAATTAATTTATTTCTCTTTAACTAAATGCCTAGAAATCTGATGCCTGTAAAGGCTCAATAATAAGGTTACTTTTTCCCTAGTCTTACCTTACTTAGTTCACCTGTTAAGAAATGGATGAACTTCTTTCTCTAGTTATCTTGAATGTACTCTGGTCAAATCACGTGGAAGGATACCATGTATCAACAAGTCTCCTCTAGTAAAAATCTTAGAACAGTTTAGAATATTGGGAAATTATGGATCCCAGAGGCAGGGCCCACTTTCCTACTTAGTACAGCCTTGAAAACCCTACAGGGCAGCTCTACTCTGTCTTATAGGGTCACTATGAAGCAGAATTGATGCCAATAGATTAATTTTATTCCTTTTATAGGATACTGCTGGAGTGACTGGCTATCTCTCACACCACCACTTCGGAATCTGAAACTAAGTAAATTTCCTAAGGAGTTACATGGTAAATGCTAGAAAAGAAAGTTGCTCATGAATTTTTGTATTCTTCCCAATCTTACAAGTGTCCTTTATATTTAATGATGACTTAATCTTGGATCACTTTATGCTTCTCTGTATGGCATGAAATCAACTATTCCTTTTAATAGTGTATTGTTGTTAAGTGCTGTTGAGTTGATTCCAACTCATAGCAACCCTGTAAGGGTTTCCAAGGAGTAGCTGGTGAGTTTGAACTGCCGACCTTGTGGTTTGCAGTCCAGAGCTGATCCTATACCACCACCACACAAGTATGCAGTCTTAAATATAGGTGCTCATTTGTGCATAGACTATAAAACAATTTTCTTTGTCTTCTAATTTCTCTATACCTTACAATGCTCTCCATACAATTTATTACAAAGTAAAAGCGGAATTGTATTTTTTAAATTTATACTACCTTTTTGTTCCTTTGGGGAGTATTATAGTTAATAGCTAGGGCACATAAAACTCAAGAGAGGAAAATGTACATTGCTTTTTTTAAGGGAAAAATTTAAATGTATATACTCTGTTTCTCAAACTTTCTTGTCAAGCAAAATTTCTCTTCTCACAGTTTTCAAAGGAGCACAAAGTTCCGTGTTTAAATATGTATTTGAGCATCTGCCAATTGGACAAATAGACCAGAAAAGGAATATGTTGTATTACCGATGAAAAAATTAACACTGTTTAGAATTCTAACAGTTGAAGAAAAGCAAATTTGCCAGAGAATATACTGAAGTGAAAACACTGGGACGTTTCAAATACCAAAAGTCATCTGTATGATTTGGTACCATCACATAGACCCCCTGAGAATGAAAATTTACCATCTGAGTGGCTCTGAATGCACATCAGTACCACCAATTTTATTCGTACAAGAAACGACTGGTCCAATGGACTTCTCTATCCAGCTCAGTATTAATCACTGCTAGTTCTTGACAACCAGTGATATTTCCCCCTAGTACAAAATGGGTGGGGTGGGGGGCAAAAATCCCAAGTATATATAACGCAACCTTTAATCTACCAAGGGTCACTAAATTGTTACCACTGATAATTAATAAATGATCTAATTTATTTAAACTAAAAAACAAAAATAAAAACTCAGCAGTTAGTTTCCTCTTTTGTATTGGGCCGAGGGGCATGCTTGGCAAAGCACACAAAAAAACAGTAAAACCCACAAAATTGGGTGATTTTTTTCAGGAAAACCAACAGAGACCCTCTCTATTCTAAAAAGGAACAAAATTTGGAAGACTGTCAGAACAAAGATGGAAGAAACCTCCTTAAAAATAAACTATTTGTCAGTTAATTGAAAGAATTCTAGTATTAACAGTAACTTTAATATAATCGACTAGAATTATGACAGGGACGGACAGACTTGTGAAACATTGAGAAGAGCTAATGAAAAAAGGGGTGCGTGGGAGGGCAGTAGCCAGGTTTTTAAGACTAAGTGGTAATAGCTGCTCCTCTTGCACATTTATTCATCTAAAATTAAGCTGAAAATGTCAGAAGTAATTTGCTTTGATGAATCAACCAATGTTGACTAAGACTAGCAACAGGTAATCAGGAACAGAAAAGTATATAATATGAGTACTCAGTTTGACAAATGCTATAAACCTAAACAGATAGAAATGGATACTTTGAAATCTTCATCTGGATCGAAGGGAAAAGGTAGGGAATTCAAAATACACTTTATTATTTTTTTCTGGGTATTTATATTAATTTTGTTAGGTAATGAAAAACTAAGTTTAATGCTAGCCATACTCATGAAAATAACATCTCTTATGATTTTCGGACATATTTGGATGACTCTGGCGTACAGTGAAACAATGAAACAAAGAAGTGGAAATGGGCATTATGTAGACTACACCACCTGAAATTTCTAAGACATACACTTTTTATATAAATTACCAAGTTTGGACCCCAAAAATAAGAGTACTGTGGAAGAATGAAATCCAATGTCCATCCCTTAAGTCTGCTGAGACAGATCCTGCAAAGATCGGCTTTATCAATGTACCGTGAAGGAGGAAGAATCATTTGTTCTGTGTGATCAAAACCATGGATTCTCCATAACAGACTTCAAATTTGATCAAATTGTGGCAAATGTGAGTGATCCTAGAAGAAAAATGAGGGTAGAAAGAGTCTGAGAGAGCTTTGTCTTCTACTCCAGAGTTAGTAAAAGTTCCACTACAATTACTGTACATGCTGAAGCCATAAGGCAGTTGTTATGATTTGACAGGGGAAAATGTGTTCCTTAACACACATGAAAAAGACCATCAGAATTTTTTATATTAATTTCAACCAGTTGCATCAGAGTGTTACGAGAGACATGCTTAGGATTATTCTAAAGAAGTAGCAACTGAAAAAAAGAAAGGAAAAATTTTTTTTAAAAAGAATAATAGAAACTTTGGCTTAAAATGAAAAGAAAAAGCAAAACTGGTACAAGTTGTCTCATGAAAGAGGTATTATGGGACTGAACCCTCACAAGTGTTGTGTTCAACATTCGTTTCCCCTGCCTTCTTTCAACTGTCATCACTTCATTGCACAGGAGTCATAGCATTCGCTTATGGTTAAGTTTCATAAATAATGAGAAAACTCTATGTAACAAATACATCAGATTTCCCACCCACCCAGCAACCCTCCCCAAAGTAAGAAAAGTTACATCAAATTAAAAAGTAGCTTCGTGAATGAAGGTACTGCTCTAAGTTGCACTTTCCCTGCAAGTGCGGCCAGTGCCTTTGCGCTGGGTATGAAGGAAAGGAAAAAAAATTCTCCACATAAACTGACAAAAAAATTTAAAAACCAATGTCCGGTTTCAACCAGTCAAAACCGGGCCAAGCGGAAGTCGAGATATCTCAGTAGTGTCCCATCAGAAGGTCTTTGTGTCCTGTTCATCATCCTGATAGGTATCTGTGTCCTGGTGATTGTAAACAATCCATAGGATGCTATGTTTTTGTTCCTTAAAATGTCCTCTGATTGGCAAAATGAAGTAAATATTCGTTTTAAAAATAGAAAATTAAAATTAAACCAGAAGAAATGAAAAGAAACACAGTGAGCTTGTTTGGAGTCCATAGGATCCGATCTGGAAGAGCTCGGAAAATGTGTCATGTGTCTTCTGTTTCAGCTGGAAAGGTACTAGAGGTTGCGTTGGTCGAGGAAAGAATTGAGAAGGAAAACCAAGGATGTTAATCTAGACTTCTGAGGATTCAAGTGTTAGCTTCATCATCTGTGTCTTCTATCAATACTTTAGTGTCACGACCCTTGGATCTGGTGGTAATAAGGGGGAAAAGGAGTTAAGTCCATTAATAAAACTATGAAAACATTTTTTACCATCTTCAAACATACATCCTAAATAGGCACTATAGACTTTAATCAAGGGACTGTTCGAGGGGTTTCATATTTGTTTCAGGTATTACTAGAAACTAGACAGCACCCAGATGGGGACAAGAACAATGGCAGGTCATGTGTGTTGTTGTAGTGTGCCTTTAAGCCAATTCTGATTCAGAGTGACCCTGCAGGACAGAGAAGAACTGCTCCACATCGCTTCCAAGGCTGGAATTTTTCTCACAGAGCTGCTGGGGGGGCTTTAAATCACTGACCTTGTGGTTAGTAGCCCAGTGCTTAGCAACTGCACTACCAGGGGCTCTCGGTCATATGTAATGAGCAGTAAATCTGTAAATTCTGAGTCTGAGTACTGACTTCAGTTTTATGGCATCTTTTTTACCTAGGTGTGCTATTTTTAATCTCTATAAAACAAGAGTAATACTTATTTCACCTAACATTTTTGCCTCATGGGAATAGTGTGAGTAGCAGATGTGAAAGTGAATATCAAAAGCATCAGTAGAGCATTAAACAAATACAAGGAATTATGAAGAAGATGATACAATGCCATTGGGGAAGACCTAGGAGAGATAGCCAGCAAAAGATGAGACCCAAGGAGAGGCATCATAGCTGCCCATCTTCAAACAGTTGACAAGCAATGATATAGAGAGAGAGGAGACACAGTCTATGTTATGTTAGACAGGCTAACTAGCATAAATTTGTTGAAGTTATAGGACATTTCAGCCCAGCATAAGCTACCTAACATGATATCTGTCCAACAATAAAATCAGGTGCCTCTTTTTAGTTATGAACTTCATTAATGATAATCAGTTGATGCTTTTAAATTATATTTTATTAGGTTACTACATGCTTTATTATTTATTTTACTATATTGTGGTTGTTAAGTGCCATCGAATCGAGTCAGTTCTGACCCATAGCAATCCTGTACAGGGTTTCCAAGGAGTGACAGGTGAGCATGAACTGCTGACCTTGTAGTTCAAGCCAACTTTGCAGGTCCAGTGCATTAGCTCACAGTGTCACATTTATTCAGGATGCTGTAGAAGAGATTCCTGGCCTGAATGAAAAAATAGGAGTATTATTAATTGTAACTGCTAAGACTTCTGGTATGGTGCTGTGGATCAGCGCTGGACTGTGAAGCACAAGGTGGGCAGTTCAAACCCACCAGCTGCTCTTTGGAAACCCTATACAGGGTTGCTATGAGTTGGAATTGACTCGATGACCCTTAACAACATTTTAGATACAATGTTAAAATATTCTGAAACCTATAATGCCTACGAAATGATTTCTGGTGAAATAGCATTATTCTTAGATGAGTAGAAACTGACATTCAAAAAGGTTACAGATGTGTTAAAGGTCGCATGCGTCAGTACTAAAACTCAGATCTTATTTTAGATTCTCTTTTCTCTTTCTTGCACATAACCTGCTCCATTTTCTAAATATCTTCCTAGGGTTGCAATCTACTTCCCTGAATTTTTTCATTAAACCCCTGAAATTGGATATAAAAAGGTTTTATTGCCAAAGAACCTCCAGGTTTTGGAAGCCAAATAATGCATGTTTAGATTGCCCTCTTCTGGTGACTAACACAGATTAGATTCTCAACTTCAGGAGCTCAATGATAAACAACCATGCCCAACATTTTCTTCCAGCTCTCTGGAAATACTTACCTTTCTGAATGTCCCCATCTTTACCCTCTGCTTCTTCAAAGTGCTTTCTTGGTGTTAAAAGACTCATGCTTTGTTTTGTTGCTTTTCCTACTGATCTGAGTGTCCTGGACATTCCTCTCCTGGCTCTTATGTTTGTTTATTCTTAACTGCTCTTTGCATTTTTCTCCCCTCTACCTTTTCTCACTAAGGGAACATCTAAATGTCTACTTAAAGCCTTCCTTATTAAAGTAACATTTAGTATGACTTCTTCTCTATTCTCTTATAACCACTGGTTGCTGTTACCACCTCCTGTTTTTTACTGTAAGCATCCTAGTCCAGGAGCACAGTGGATCTGTAGGATAATAAGTATTGGACTGAGAACTACAAGGTCAGCAGTTTGAGCCCATCAGCCATAAGGAGAAAGATGAGGCTTTTTGCTCCCCAAAAGATTTACAGCCCCTGAAACTCTATACAGGGTTGCTATGAGTTAGAACCAACTTGACGGTACTTAACAAAAGCAATACTAGTCTAGGACCTCACTGTCTCATACTCAAGAATACTGCAGTAATCTTCTAGTTGGTATTCCAGCTTTTAGCTTTTTCCTTTTCTTGTATAATGCCACGATACCTCCCTAAAATACTAACTTCATGTCAGTCTACAAAAAATTTTCTGAGAAATTCTTCACTGCCTAGAGGAATAAGCTTGAACTTTCAGACTTTTTAAATTACACTTTATCTAGGTACAATTTTCTCACAATTTCAGTTACATGTTCCATTATTTCTGCTTTATCTTTGTGTGGCACTATAGGCTAAGCACTGGACTGCTAGCCACAAGGTCAGCAGTTCAAGTTCACCAGTTGCTCCTCGGAAATCCTATACAGGGTCGCTATGAGTCAGAACCAACTCGATGGCACTTAACAACAACAGTCTTTATACCTGCTGTGTACCTCTAGCTTATTCATACACTCCTTAACCTTTAAAAACCTGCTCATGCCTAACTTAAGTAGATGGCAAAAGGAAGAGTCAGGATTCCTGAAATTTGTAACCTGAAAATTATACAAAACACACTGAGGAGTCAAGTAAGTAATTTCCCAAATTATTTTCAGGTTGGATCATATGAAATTACTTTTATTGCAGGTGAATATGTGCAATTTCATCTGTTTTAACCAGATAGCTTCTTAGTTTGGATGCTATCACATGCTAACACCTGAAGGAAATGCACCACCTAGGTGTGGAAACCATACTCACTGAGAAGCGAGGCGAGGCCGGCGCAGGGATATGCTCTGGCTGTACTTCCAAGGCCGGTTCTTCTGGCGGTTTCGTACTCCATCATCCTGGTCCATCATCTGCTCTAAGAGTGTCTGATCATCTGCATTCAGGGGGGCCACAGAAATGTCCCGCACAGCACGGAATTCACCACAGTTATTCAGATGCTCATTCTCCAGACGGAAGAAGTTCCACACAAATCGCCTTCGAGGATAGAACAACCGTAAGCATTTAAAGATTTAAAGACTTACTTTGCTGCAGTTTAGAATGTACACACAAAATATACATTAAAAACAAACATAAGAATCCTTATGACAACAAAAATTGCTTCCAAAATATTTCATTATGCAAAGTAAATAACTTTCAAAATTTGAATATACTATTACATGTAAAGGGGTCCTGGTGTGGCACCGTGAGTTAATGTACTGGATTGCAAAGTTGGTTGAACCACAATGTCGGTCGTTCAAGCTCACCAGCTGCTCCTCAGAAACCCTATACAAGGTTGTTGAGTCAGAATAAACTCGACAGCACTTAACAACAGCAATTACATATAAATCTCAGAGTATATCATGTTTCCTTCATGGAAACAAACACAAGGAATGAAGGGCTAGAATATTAAAATAAAACAGAAAAATCTAAAGGGAACAATAAAGACTAGTAGAAGAGTAGGCAAAAGGATAGGATTCATGGAATATAATTTCAGAACACTCATTCTCATTTCACAAATACTTATGGAGGGGTTATTCTATGACAGGGAATGCCACTGAATAGGGCAGAAACCAATAATACGCATGCCAATAGACAGTTAAAGGTAAGTGCTGTGAAGAAGACAAAAGAGAGCAAGGGGATAAAGTATGATTTAAGACTCCTCAGGGAAGGCTGCTCTGAAGAAATGGCATCTAGCAGAAACAGGAAATACTCAAGGTCAAGAGACATGTAAAAATCACACAGGAAATTACAAACATAGGAGGCCCCAAGTTGGGAAAGCCTTTGGTGCACTGCAACATCAACAAGGCCGAGTGGAATACGTAAAGTTAGAATGGCAGGAGATACAGATGGAGAGGGAGAAAAAGGCCTGATCTAAAACAGGGCCATACTAAAGAGTTTAGATTTTAAGTGTGATGTAAACCAATGAGAGTTCTGAGCAGGACAGTGATGTGATCTGTTTTTAAAAGAATCTTTTTATCTGCTACACTGTGAACAGATTGAAAGGAGACACGAAAATGACAGAAGGCCTAGTATAAGTATGTTGCAGTCATCCAGGAAGAGATAATGATGTCTTGGATTAAAGTACTAATAACAGAGGTAATAAGAAGCAGACAGACCAGGGAATTATTTATGAAGATGAACACCAATATTCATTGCAGTACTATTTAAAATATAATAGCTAAAGGGTAGGAACAGACTAAATGGCCCACCACAGCTGAATGGATAAACAAAATGTGGCATATACATGCAACAGAGTATTACTCAGCCATTAAGAGAAATTACATTCTGGCATGTTACAACTTGGGAGAACCCTGAAAACAGCAATGCTGAAAAAAATAAGTTTAAAAAGGGTAAGTATTGTATGATTCCATGTATGTGAAATATCTAGAATAGGCCAGTGAACAGAGACCAAAGTTTATTAGTGGTTACCAGGGGGAAGACAGATGGGGAAAGGAAGACTCAAATGATTAGGGGACACTGAGTTTCTGTTCTGGATGATGGAAAAATGTGAGAACAGATAAGGGTGAGATTGAACAATACAATGAACTAATAAATGCTACTAAACCACTGTGTATGTGAAGACTGGAAATGGCAAATATTTTGTTACATATACCACAAACAAAACATTGTAAGCTCATCTACTTCTACTTTGTTGATGTTAAGTGCCTTAGAGTCTGTTCCTACTCATAGTGACGCTATATACGGTTTCTGAGGAGCGTGTGGTGGGTTTGAAGTGCTGACCTTGTGGTTGGCAGTCCAGTGCTGACCCTACATCACCACACCAAGGCTCCTTCTACTTTCGTTTCCTTCATATTTTCAAGCTATAATTTTAAGCGCATAAAGATTTGAATTGGCCATCATAACTGAGTCTCAAAGTCTCTAGGTGTGGCAAATTTCTTTAGGGCAAAAGCGGCTTTAATGCTCTGCTTACCTCGGGTTTCCTGCTTTACTCTACACTTTGAGCTATCTTGTCAGATGGCTGATGCTTTTAGAGAGATTAAAAAATACATCTTATCTGGCATTTTAACTGTTTTCAGTGGGAAGGTTGGGTCGAATAACTCATAACTGCATATGATTCTCAAGAGATTTAAATTTCTGTTCTAAGACTTTTTTCATCTAAATTTCTACTCACAACACTCCCAGTGGAGCCCAGTTATAAAACAACAATAACTACGTCACTAACAATAGTTATTTCAACTGTTTTTAAAAAACTTTTTTATTGCAGTGTATTTTATGTTATAAATTTCTACATGGTAGCTTTTTTTTTTAATGTTTTATTGTGAATTCTGTGATAGTTTACTTGGGAGAACATTAGCTTTACATTCATCCTATCGTATATCATTTCACTGCCATGGTTACAATCCTCTCCATGCATCATCAACCAACCGAAGGGTATATACCCTGTAAGCCTGTCCCCTGGTCGTTAACACACAGCCCCTCTCCCTCTCTGTCAACTTTTTAAGTATTAAACTCTTAGTTTCTCAGTCAGAATTTTCCAATTGAGACTGATGAGAAATTTAAGGAAAAGTTGGAAGTTTTAAGATTTTCAAGTAAAAGTTAAAACAAATTCTCATCTGTTAAGTATTGAACCTATTTTAGGTAAAACGACTTTTGATAAACTATTTGCTAGCCCACTTACCGGAAAACCTCAAGAGGAGCAAAGACAGTTGCGATGATGTCACTAGAGTGAGGCAGTGAGCGTACAGAGGTGATTGAGATTTGGATAGTCCAAGCAAAGCGCAGTATCACATCCTCAATGATGGCGCAGTAATAGTAGGCCTGAGGAACAACAAACAAGTTGAGTATGCTGACCATTACAGTTCTCACAAATAAGGACACCTCTAACATAACAAGAACACTCCAACACATCCCACCAGTAAGCAAAAGTTCAAGAGGAGCAAGAGTTACATTCTAATATTTTTGCAGAGAAGTAAACATGATATTTTAGAAAATTTCCACTAATTTCATTTTTTCTTAAAAGGTACAATATTCAGAAAGACATTTTAATGAATCACAGTAGTCCTTTAATAAATGTTATTTGACTCCCAGTATATTTGATTCCCATTAATCTCATTGCTATTCCCCAGAAATACAAGCCAAATGGGATTCTTAATCTGATTGTAATTACATTCTAAGATATATATGCTATAATAAATCAATAGTTATTAGAAAAGACTAACAGATTTAGTAACTATCACTTTTATTCTCAAATTGCTGTCTTGATGTCAATAAATGAAATTAAACTTGGATTTCAAAAATGTAATTAAAAATTTTTAATGTTCCACTTTTATATGGAACATACTTAACTAATACTTTGAGGTACTATTGCCCGGGTATTTAAGAGTCCAGTTTTAGCTACACAAAAGTCGTTAAGTACACACATTGCCAACAGACCAGAACCATAACTATCCATTATGAATATCAGGAAAATGAGTTCTTTAAGCATATGCATTTGTACATCTAGGCCATGACATCTTTTGGCAAATAGAACTGTTATATATATTGTCATAGTGTATTTTATTAAAAAAACAAAAACAAAATACAAACTGAAAAAAGTTAATACTTTTCAACGTTGTTTTGCTGTTAAATGCCATTGAGTTGATTCTGACTCATATGAGGTTACTGAAAATACCATGGCTTGGGTCAGGCACACCTGAGTCCTCAAACTGACATCTTTGCTTTTCAACATTTTAAAGAGGTCTTATGCAGCAGATTTGCCTAATGCAATACGTTGTTTGATTTCTTGACTGCTGCTTCCATGAGTGTTGATGGTTGGTTCCATCAAAATGAAATCTTTAACAGTTTCAACCTTTTCTCCATTTATACTGATGTTGTTAATTGGCCCAGTGATGAGGATTTTTGTTGTACGATTTCCGAGGCTTTAAATACTTGCTGGAGCAGAAAGCTTCACATTTCTCTCTTGGAGTAACTGGTGAGCTTGAATCATTAACAAAACAATAGCCACACCTTTGCCACCTTCTCTTACCATGCCCTAGAGACAAATATTTTCAGTATCTGTAGCTATTTCTTCTGGCATTTTCCCTCAGTATTTCTAAATAATGTGTGTATACTGCTATATTTTGATACACTGGTTTTAGACACTACTCATTGCTTACTACGACAGATGAGACTTTTAACACATTATTAAGATTCCTTGGTTCCCTTCTCCATACTCTCAATACAGCAGTAATGAAAATAATGAACATTTTGGATATATATGCAATCAAGAGATTCATTATAAAGTTTACTGAAATTTCACATGATTTTCAGTCAGTCTTGAGCTGGTCTATATTTGATTGCCATGGGAGTTGATGTTACATAAGTACAAAAATCTTTTGAGAGGAATATACTAAACTTGAGATAAAGAGACATGTTGTTGTGAAGTGCCGTTGAGTCAGTTCTGACCCATAGTGACCCTGTACAGGGTTTCTGAGGAACAGTTGGTGAATTTGAACCACTGACCTTGCAGTTCAAATGGCTTTGCAGTCTCGTGCATTAACCCCACAGTGCTACACCAGGACTCCCAGTGACATAGAAATGTTAAAATTTTAATACAGAAATAAAAATGCTTCCTATGCCTGAAATGTGGCATTCAATGTTATGTTCATCCCTAAGAACTAATTTTAAGGTTTAAATAGTTCGGTTTTTAAATTTTTTAGATAAAGCTCTACTAAATTTCATAAATGGTCTCTTCCCTTTTCAGGCTGGATGGACTCTATTTCATTATGAACCTTTTTAAAATCGAAAGGGCTTACTTGGTAATCCAGCATAGTATTTTTCTTATATATTTAGAAACTGTAATGTAGGAAAGCATACATTACCTTGTTTGTTGCTGTGTGCTGTTGAGTCAGTTCCAACTCATTGCAACCTTGTACATATAGAGTTTCTGGGGAGTGACTGGTGGGTTTCAATTGCTGACCTTGTGGTTAGCAGTCAAGTGTTTTCCCCTATAGCACCACACTATGGCTGAGTGTTGTAGCATCATGAAAATATGTAACAAGGGAAATGATTTATTTCTAATACTAATTTTATTACACAGACACCAAAAAGAACTATTTAAGAAAGGAATGGCTTAACATTTATATAGAGATACAGACAGTTGATCTAAACAATCATGTTGCTGTTAGGTACCGACTCATAGTGACAGAGCCCAGTTCTATGCCAACCTCACAATTGTTGCTACATTTGAGTCCACTGCTGCTGCCACTGAGCCAATCCATCTCGTTGGGGGTCTTCCTCTTTTTTGCTGATCCTCAACTTTACCAAACATGATATCCTTCTCAGCGATTGGTCCCTAATGATAATATGTCCCAAGTATGAAAGACGAACTCTGGCCATCCTGGCTTCCAAGGAGCATTTGGCTTTATTTTCCAACTTAGATTGGTTTGTTATTTTAGCAGTCCATGGTACTTTTAATATTCTCCCCAACACCATAACTCAACAGCATCAATTCTACAGTTTTCTTTATTCACTGTCCAACTTTCAATTCATATGAGGTTATTGAAAATACCATGGCTTGGGTCAGGTGCACCTTAGTCCTCAAACTGACATCTTTGCTTTTCAACACTTTAAAAAGGTCTTGTGTAGCAGATTTGCCTAATGCAATATGTCCTTTGATTTCTTGACTGCTGCTTCCATGAGTGTTGATGGTAGGTTCCATCAAAATGAAATCTTTGACAGTTTCACAATCTTTTCTCCATTTATACTGATGTTGTTTATTGGCCCAGTGGTGAGGATTTTTGCTTTATTTACATTGAGGTACAATCCATACCAAAAGTTGTGGTCTTTGATCTTCATCAGTAAGTATTTTAAGTCCTCTTCACTTTCATCAAGCAAGGTTGTATCATCTGCATACTGAAGGTTGTTAATGAATCTTCCTCCAATCTTGATGCCACGTTTTTCTTTATATAATCCAACTTCTTGGATTACTTGCTCGGCATACAGACTAAACAAGAATGGTTAAAGTACAACTCCGGCACACACCTAATCCTAATTTTAAACCATTCTGTGTTCTCTTGTTATGTACAGGTTCCTCAAGAGCACAATTAAGTCTTTCAGACTTCCAAGATAGTTCAACATCACCAATGATATCCCTCTTTCCACATCCTCTTCTGAATTTGGTTTGAACCTCTGGAAGTTCTCCGTCAATGTATGGTTTCAGCCATTTGTTTGCTTGTTTTTAAAGCTTTTACTGTGAATTGAGTAAGAGTTTACATGGAAGTACATTGGTTTTACACTCATCCTGTTGTATTTTGTTTCACTGCAATGATAACAATCCCCTTCATACATCATTATTTAACAGTATTTGCATCTATTCCTTCTGATTGGTTTGTTTGTATATAATCATTTAAACAACCAAAGGGTATATTCTGCAAGCCTGCCTCCTGGCTGGCAGTACACAGTCTTTCTCTTTCCATGAGTCTGGAGTCCTCAGATGCCCTATCTCTCCATGCCATCATCTCTAGTGTCATTGCTTCTCTGGTTAGGGTTTCATATTCCACTCATGCTCTACTCTTTTGATGGTCCTAGGATCCTCTGTTCCTGGAATGTAAGATTAACCTTTCCTGCAGGGAGACCGGCTCTCTGCGAGGGTCATGGGACATGAGCGAATATACGTGGAATCGTCTAATGAAGAAATGAATACAATTCGAGAGGCTTTTTAGCTTGTAGTGCTGTCCAGCTATTCTCTCCAGCTTCTGCTGTCTGCCCAAGTCTTTATTTTTTATACTTCCACTACACAGTACATGCATTGACACTTTTATCATTTTCTGAATTATTACACAGTTAGTCACAACATTCTTGCACCTGGTCATTAGACAACCTTGACAAAAATACTTCTGTGATGTTCAGACTGACCTTCATGTTCTTTCCCAGTATGAGATAAAACTGTTTCTTCTTGTTTCTACTAAAAGATTATAAACTTTCTATCCTACATAATGTGTTATTATTTTCATAATAAAGGTATTCATTAAATCACTTGGAAGCTATGTGGCATAAAGCCCGACCTGGCTACTTGCTGCAAGAAGTGTAGATTATTAAGTCAAAACTATCCTTCACTTAAGTTCATTACTGTCTACTTGTTTACGCAGGTGTCTATGTGTAGGGGTTTGTGAATTCTAGCTAGTGACTGAATGTGGTGAGGCCTATGGGGGTAGGTTAGCTTGACTCTAATATGCTATCTGCTTTTGAAGCCTCACAAATGCAGTCTCTTAGGTTTTCTAATGAAAGGGAGTAATTTACACAATTTCTCTTTGTATTCAATCCAACAAGGCTGAAAGCAATTGCTGCTAAGCTAGTTTTTCCTAAGGTTTGTAGAACTCATAGTGAAAAGCTGTGAATATTGCCAAATTATATATTTTTATTAGTAAAATTAAGATTACTCTATAGAGAAGGTAGAAAGCAACTTCTGAGAGCTGTTTTGCCAGACCACTCCACAATTTACCAGAACTGTGTCAAGCGGCAAATCAAAGCTGTCCTCTACCCTCATTGGCCCCCAGCACTTCCCCCCCCCCTTTATGTTACAAACTTCTACCTTTAGAATTGCGACAATCGCAATTAGTCATGATAACAATTACTTACTATTGAATCAAAAGAATTCTATTCCCATCTTCCTTCACCATATGCGTCTAGACAAGTTGAAAACTATTCAATGGGGATTCTACCCCCTTCCCTCACCCCACACACTCTGAAACTAATCTCCCTCTTGAAACTTGTAAGCCAGCCACTTCGTGTCTTTATGGTCCCCTTCCCCTCATTCTAGATTGTCAATGTCTAATTTG